GCAAAAATGTATTGTTTTTTGTAGAAAAAAATTGTTTACATCAATCAACCTACTTTTCAATTTTTTGCATAATAAAGACGGAAAATTGGAAAAATAAAACCCCCATCTTTTTCAATAATAATCTGTGATGCCATGGAATTTTATAATCGAGAAACTACGCCAATATCCGTCATGCCATGGAATGTCTGCTATAAAACAAATCAAATTCTATCAAAAAGTATTATATTATTAGAACAGCAAATTCAACATATAGAAAGACCAAATTACTAAAAACGGTTTCCTGATATAACAATTTACAATAAATGTTCGAATAAGTCACGATTAACTGCAAGGCAGTAACCAAGTCGATCATAAAATCCATTTCGAACTGCTGCTAATTTGGATATCTTTTTGTTTTAGAAAATTCCATGGCATCGCAGATTATTGAAAAAGATGCGGGTTTTATTTTTCCAATTTTCCGCCTTTATTATGCAAAAAATTGAAAACTAATATCTATGGTTGATTGACGTAAAAAATTTTTTTCTACAAAAAACCTTAATAGGTACATTTATGCTCTAAAATAATTTGGGGAGCCAATAATTGCATGTTATGAATTTTACATTGAAATCTCTATGATGCGTTACACAAGTCACCACCCTGTATACATACAGTTAGATGTGGCCCAATAGCCATAGTTATCTTGATAATTTCTAAGTAGAGGCTGGACAAATAAACCAAATTCAGTTAAATTATCATTCAACCTAAAAGTATTAATTTAATAACAATAATAAATAACAAGAATTTATACTGTCTAAACATCACTTTACATTTGGTTGTATCTTTTCCGGAAAGTGATATTGCGAAGACCTGCCGTTCTCGAATTTTCGTTGCAATGAATAAGCACTTTTAGCATGTCAAATTTTTTATAGTTAGAGTATCTAGTCGTTTCGGAATTTTTCCATAAAAAAACAAACTACAGCTGTCAAGTGTTTTTCATAGACGACTATGTATTTTTCATAAATATCCATAAATAAAACAAACGCATCAGCCATAGTTTGCATGTCGTTCTATACGCTTGATGGTTGCTTCTGAATTGTTTCCACTATGTTTTCTGGGAGGTTTTTCGAGTTACCATGCTTCCCTGGTAGCTGCCAACGTGTGAGATTATTTTGGGATTAAATAAGAGATTTTTAGACGATCTAAACATAATTGGTTCTTTAACTATTAATTTTTTGTTAAAATAACTTCTTTTTTGCCAAACCTTATCGTAGTCGTAGTGTAGTTCGTAGTTTCTTGCGTTTTTACGAATTAATAGCGCCATTTCTTATTAAAAATAGTGATTTTTGAAATCAGAAATAAATGCTCTATCATATGACACAAACAGTAAAAATGACTTCCATAAGAAAAAACAAAGTTGATGATGGTTAACCGGAGACAAAACGTCATACTTAAAATGTTAAACTAGCATCTTCTAGAGCCGTAATAATGTCATTTATTTTTAAATGTCTTATTAAATAACTTCGGTAAAAAATAAAAACGATTTTGCAAAATTTCGTTTTTTGTCAGGATATCTACAAAAGTCGGAATTTTTTCAGTTTCCGATGGTTGCAAGGATTGCGAAATTTTTTTCACATAATAAGGCAGCATTCCATTGTTTTTATTATAGAAAACAACCGAATAACGAAAAACAATTGAATTTTTACATAGCAAAGCACACTTTCGTTAGCCTCATTTGATAGATATTTTTTTCTCATTTCAATGGCGTATAGGTAACATGTTAGCACAGAAAATTTTTTTTTTTAAATTATTATAATTAGGTCAATATATAACACTAATCCAAATATCCTACGCTCTGCCGCTTGTTTTATATAGATAGAAAATGTGCATTAAATTACCTATAATCGAGCACAAAATAAGAACATTTAAAAATCGAAATAATAATAATATTTATTGGTGGGGTTTATACAGAAAATATTTCCACACGTCACAGAAATAGAAAAATTAATATTATAAATGGCTAAATTTGACAAATGACAATAGGCAACTTTACATACTCCGTTCTGTATGTAAAGTTTTGACATCACCAATGGATTCTTTCTTGTGTTGTTTGTCTTCTTCCGCCACCTTCTGTAGCTCTAGTTTATATTTTCCCATTCCCTCTCCATAGATCGGTCTATCTAAACTTTCGTGTCATTTTCATTCTTAGTCTAGGCGATAGAGACTGTAAAATTGGCAAACTGGACATTTTGAGGTGGAAAAGAAAAAAATTGCGGAATATGTTCAGTTAGGTGTCAAAAATAACATATTAAAAATCCCACCCTCCAGACCCTGTGCTAAAGGCTCCAGCCACCCCACCATCCCCCAAAAACCGTGTTTTCGCTGTTTTTGGCTGATATCTCGCGATCTATGAGGTCTATATGAAATACTTTTAGCTGAAAATAGTTCTCGGGAAATTTCATACAAGATAGATACTCAGAAGTTAGCCTAGGTGTACCTCTTAGCCTAGGAAATTCATAAAAGCGACGAAAAAATCATCAATTTTCCGGGTCGATCTGAGACAATTTTTTTTTCGGGGCTCAAAAAAAGGCAGTGTATAACCTTCCTTTTTTACCAAAAATCGACTACACCAAAATTTCTCGGGGAAACACTTTTTCTTATTAATTTTGGTGCGTAGAATCCAAAACAATTCGTACTTTTTCGATCAGACTTCTCAATCAAAAGTGATAGACTAGAAACCAATTTCGAAAAAAAATTCAAAGGGCTGTAACTTTTGAACTAGTAGCCCAATCTTGGAACTGTTTGAAATTATGGATTCTACAGGCCACATTCTATAAGAAAAATTTTTTCCGGGTCGATCTGAGACAATTTTTTTTCGGGGCTCAAAAAAAGGCAGTGTATAACCTTCCTTTTTTACCAAAAATCGACTACACCAAAATTTCTCGGGAAAACACTTTTTCTTATTAATTTTGGTGCGTAGAATCCAAATCAATTCGTACTTTTTCGATCAGACTTCTCAATCAAAAGTTATAGACTAGAAACCAATTTCGAAAGAAAATTCAAAGGGCTGTAACTTTTGAACTAGTAGCCCAATCTTGGAACTGTTTGAAATTATGGATTCTACAGGCCACATTCTATAAGAAAATTTTTTTCCGGGTCGATCTGAGACAATTTTTTTTTCGGGGCTCAAAAAAAGGCAGTGTATAACCTTCCTTTTTTACCAAAAATCGACTACACCAAAATTTCTCGGGAAAACACTTTTTCTTATTAATTTGGGTGCGTAGAATCCAAATCAATTCGTACTTTTTCGATCAGACTTCTCAATCAAAAGTTATAGACTAGAAACCAATTTGGAAAAAAATTCAAAGGGCTGTAACTTTTGAACTAGTAGCCCAATCTTGGAACTGTTTGAAATTATGGATTCTACAGGCCACATTCTATAAGAAAAATTTTTTTCCGGGTCGATCTGAGACAATTTTTTTTTCGGGGCTCAAAAAAAGGCAGTGTATAACCTTCCTTTTTTACCAAAAATCGACTGCACCAAAATTTCTCGGGAAAACACTTTTTCTTATTAATTTTGGTGCGTAGAATCCAAAACAATTCGTACTTTTTCGATCAGACTTCTCAATCAAAAGTTATAGACTAGAAACCAATTTCGAAAGAAAATTCAAAGGGCTGTAACTTTTGAACTAGTAGCCCAATCTTGGAACTGTTTGAAATTATGGATTCTACAGGCCACATTCTATAAGAAAATTTTTTTTCCGGGTCGATCTGAGACAATTTTTTTTTCGGGGCTCAAAAAAAGGCAGTGTATAACCTTCCTTTTTTACCAAAAATCGACTACACCAAAATTTCTCGGGAAAATACTTTTTCTTATTAATTTGGGTGCGTAGAATCCAAATCAATTCGTACTTTTTCGATCAGACTTCTCAATTAAAAGTTATAGACCAGAAACCAATTTGAAAAAAAATTCAAAGGGCTGTAACTTTTGAACTAGTAGCCCAATCTTGGAACTGTTTGAAATCAAAAAAAGGCAGTGTATATCCTTTACCTTTTAACCTCTGACCTCTCCAAGCCCCATTCCCTTATATTTTTAGCTCTATAGTCATATTTTAACTTCCGCCACAAGTGACTTTTTCCCACAAAGTTCTATCAATCTACCTCCTCTGTTTTTGTGCCCAGTCCAATTTATAATGCTTCCTTCCCATACAACGCCATTCCAACCTCCCATTTATCTAAAGCAGCGGCCTTGTTTTGCGTCTTTCAGAATGGTTTCAACTCTTCGATTCCTCCCTTGGATTATGATCAGTGGTATAGGCATATACAGTGATATTTATTAAGAAGTATACATGGATGTAAGTGGTACAAACCTTCTGAAGGACGCCTAATTTTATGCAACCAAAATAACCTCTAAATACAAATAAAGATGTGACTGTCATATTAATTAATTGGAATATTGTTGCTTTGAATTGACAGCCTCTTACGCTCCTTAAAATGTTACCGACTCTATTAACCAATTGACAATATCAACTTTTTCTTCAGGTGAATACAGCGCACATGAACGAAAATACGGAGGTCTGTAATTATTTTGGTTGCATAAAATTAGGCGCTCTACAGAGGAGGGAAAAACAATACACTCAAATCCCTATGTCTACTTCTTAATAAATATCATTGTTGAATCTTCAATATGGGGAAGTAGATGGTTATCCAGACCCTTTTTGATCTGGTCTTTGTATACGTCCCCTGTCCTGGAATAACAGGGTCTCCAAGGAGGAAGTTGACTTTGTATTCCGTAAGTTAAGGTTTAGCATTTGGTATAGAGGTGTTTATTCTAGACGTACTTTAGCAAAGCTATCTAATTGGGAGGTCGTAAAAGCATGTCGCCTAGGGAAATGTAGGTATAACTGCCGCAAACTAGAACACTTTCTGCTTGGTGCAACAGAGACCGACACTCGTATGCATTACAGACCATTACAGGAAGTCCGTTTTCTGTCATTGTGAATAATGGCTTAGGGAAAAAGAAATAACACAGAATTTTTTATTCCTTTTTGTTAAAAACTATGAAAACAATTCAGTTACAACATTTGATGCCCTAAATACAATAATCATGTATCGTAGTAAAAGATCCACTCATTGATTGCATACCATATTTAAGACTTACAAAATAAAATGCTGCCCATGTAATCAAGATATTAAAAAATGAAATGCACACCAACTTTGGCTCATTACAAGGAAGATACCTAGATCCTAAAGCACAAAAAATGTATAGGTAACCGAAGCGTCGGTGCGCGATTTCTGTTAGGAGTTTTTCAAACCATAATAATAAATGACTTCTGTCGTGCATATTTTAATTACTGATTATATAATCATATTATATAAAAATGAAAATTGTCTCGATTTATAATATTGCGCGATAACACCATTGCTAGCACTTATATAAAAAAATCCAGTCACCGTCGTTAAAATTTGAGCGATTTCGCAAATAGCGCCGCGATCGCTTGCGTTTTATCACCGTTGAAACGTCTTAATTCGAATATGGCCTGCTCGCGCGTGAACTTCAAAGCGACCAGCTCCGCCACGTCGGCTTCCGTGAATTTGTCGTTGCTCAGAATGACCGACGGCGATGAGGATGTCGCCGTGTTGCTATTTGTTGCATCTGGAATAATTGGTCTGTGTTAATAACTTAATAAGTCGAATCCTGTGGTTAATCGAAAGGGATACATCAATGGTATCAGGTGTAAAATTTTCAGTGTTGAGAGATACAATTTAAGTAAAAATCAAACACATTTTCTTGATCTACCCTACTAAAGAGGGTGAAGTCTTGCTATGTTATCTGAGTCATATAGCTATTTGTTAATGGTATAACGATCCTTCTATATCTATAAATATAGCTACACTCTAGGTCTATAACACAAACAAAAGAGCATGTTTTCTAACAACAATTGAACCTAAATTTGTTTTGTTATAATTAAAAAAAAACAAACGACGATGAAAATATTATTAGGCTTTTCTTAGACTTAATTCTAGAGCTCTATTTAGAAATCTTTTCAAAAGTTGTCTGGGAATCTTAAAAATTTACATTGTAATCTTTTAAAAACCACAATTGAACTTTTTCCAAACCTTCTTAGAATCTGCTTCGAATTTTCTCAAGGTCTACCTAGGAAATTCTAATAGAAATACAGTAGGTGCTCGACCATCCGGCACACCCAGTAGTCTGGTATTTATCGACTTGGCTTACCCACTCTATAATCTGAATACTATAATAATAATAATAATAATATAATTGACGGACTGTACTGCGTTAACAATAATAAGATAGTAGATGGCGCTGTACTTGAAGATAAGCACACACAGGAAAAACATAAAACACCAAAGTTTTGTTAAGTAGAAGTATCCAGCACTGCAAATATAGAAATCAATCAAACGATTTCACGCTCAGGATCTTTGACATTAACAGCGAATGGCAGTTCGACAGTTTAGTTGGCAATAGAAACTACCAGCTTACAAAATTCGTCACTCGTGTTTTAACCAATCACACTGAAGGTCAAAACTTCGCTATGCTTTCTACCGCTACCTTCTTCAAGAATAGAGTATAACTGATGTTTGGGGAGTTATGTATGGTTGTGGTCTTAATTTGTTCAGAATTTTAGCAATTTTTTAGCAACAAATACAATAAGTACCTAATTAAAACTCTCGTATAAGTTCTGTAATACTTATTTACATGACAGTCAGGAAAATGACACATTACTGGCGAGGAAATATTAAGAATTTTCTAAAACCACCCTCAGTAAAAAAAAAGGCAATTAAAGTAAATTCATTGCAGAACAGCTTCCTAGCTCCTTTATATCTACTAATGTACAACTGCCTAAATTTTAACGAAATCAAAATGACTGTTTTGGCAAAAAAAATGAGTTAATTTTGACATTTCCTTTCTTCGTTTTTTTGTAATAAAACCTAGCATAATTTTTGAAGATTGTACACAGAAATATATAGAAAGTCGCTTCACACATTTTAACAAAAACTCTATGTTGCCATTTGAAAAAAGTCCAAAAAATTTTTTTCAAAAATTCAGTCCGTTATTTTTCGTTTCCGTATGCCTAATAATACATATTTAAAATTTGAACTAAAACGGTTGAACCGTTAAAATTGTCAATATACGTACAGGGTGGTTCAAATTCGTGACTGACCGTTGTGATCACTGTAACGGGAAGAGATACAGTGTAGGTGACAAAGTTTTTGTAACTAAAAAACGCTTTTGAAATTTTTGACAAATCTTTGAAAATAACTGAGATATCACCGAAGAACTGAAAATGTCAAATTTACATTTTTCATGGGTTAAATGGTCGGAAATGAACGGTTCCCATTAGTATCATCTATTCAAGCTACTACTTCCTTATTTCTTATGGACGTCATATTGAATTAAAAAATGTGAGTGGACAATTAGTGTGTGGGTGGAAGATTGCCGGTTTATTAACGCCTACATTTAAAATTTATTGTCTGGTCATGTTGAAGGACTGCTAAGGCTACAACCCAAAAATATTTTCACCGAAATTGCAATTGTTATACAGGGTGATTTATATCAAAGTTGCATTTTTTAAATGGAACCCCCTGTATATTATTACACATTCCTTGGTCAATTTTCAAAATTTCAATCAGAGGGAACTTGATTTTTTTAAATAGAACTACAAAGTTTTTTTATTGCATGAAATGTAACATTTTATTACCTTTCTAACGATATAAGCATGCCGGTATGTATCTCTTACCTATTTTTTTCAACAATTTCTAATAATTGTTTTTGCAATTTTTAAAGCCTCTCAGTGATCAGTAGGCTGTTAAAAATTAAGAACACCAATTCAAATGATAAAATATTTACCCCCAATAAAACAAAACAAAAACTCTTGTTTGTCGTAGCCCATTTTAAAAGATAAAATAATGAATTTGCATTTAAACCAATGCGTGAACTTATAAATAAATCAATTTGAATAGTAAGCCACGAAAGCCATATTAGAAAATATTAACACAAAATAAAATGAAATATCATCTGTCAGTTCAGTTGATTAGAATTTACAATTCTGTTGTTGATTGTTGTCTTAGAAAAATGGTACTATTTTTTTTGCTCTCCTTCAAAACGTTCTGGTGCACATCGTAGAAGAAATGTGGTTTCAGCACGATGGTGCCCTACCTCATTTTGCTATAAACGTTAAAGAATGGCTGAATCAACAATTTCCTGGGAGGTGTGGTCTTGAACATTTATTTAAATAATTATTTAAAATAAAAGACCAGCAGAAATTCAATATTTATTTTCTGTTATTCGCAATCGATTTCGGCCTTACTGCGAATAACAGAAAATAAATATTGAATTTCATCCAACCTGCTGGTCTTTTATTTTGAATAATGAAATTCAAAATAGAAGACAAAATAATTATTTAAACTTTTTATTTTGATTTTTTTAAGTTTTTGTTTTATTTTATTTGGAGTAAATTTTTTATAAATTCAATTGTTTATAATTTTTAACGGCCTATTAATTACTGAAAGGCTTTGGAAATCTAAAAACACTGTGAATTATTAGAAATTACAAAAATATGTAAAAGATAAATATCAACATGCTTATATTGTTTAAAAGGTAATAAAATCCTACATTTGATGCGATAAAAAGTTCCATTTAAAAAAATCAAGTTACCTTTGATTGAAATTTTGAAAATGTGCCACTGCAAAGTCACGGCCTTCTAACTGCGATATTCAATTTTCACTGAACATCTACTTTTTGAAAAAACGACGACTTGCGGCTAAACGACCCATTTTCAACATCATGTGTAATACATAAAGTTACACTAAAATTGACCAAGGAATCCAAATATGTAATACTATATAGGGGGTTCTATTAAAAAAACAAACTTTCATATAAATCACCCTGTATAGCAATTGCAATTTCGTTGAAAATATTTTTAGATTGTAGCCTGAAGGGTCCTTCAACATTACCCGACAATGACTTTTAAGTATGCGCGTTAATAAACCCACAATCTTCCACCCACACACTAATGGCCCACCCTGTATAGTGTGACAGGTCATTAAGTGCATAAGAAAGTATTAGCCAGAAGCTTCAACATCTAGCGTGTTATGGAAATTCTGATAACAAATTCAGACTTTCCGAAAAGAAAGTGCTCATAGAAGGTGCTAACGGGACCCATCCATTTCCCACCATTTCAGCTAGGAAAAATGACAACGAAACATGAGATTTTCAGTTTTTCGACGATATCTCAATTATTTTCAAAGATTTTTAAAAGTTTAAAATGGGTGTTTTGTCATGAAACGGGACAACTTTGCCCCCATTTAACCTACATTGTCGAGTACCTTGTATTTTTCACAGCTACTGAGATCCCAATGACTAGCCACTCATTTGAACCACACTGTACATACCTACATACAGATGGGAAACAATTTTAATCTTTAAAAGTTGCTTAAAATGATCTAAAACGTCGACATTTTGACATGCACATGCCCAAAAAAGGTGTTTGCAATAGCTATCTAGCTCAAGGTAGGTAGCTAAATTTTAAAATATTAAATATAAATAAATATTTTTAAAAAAATAATTATCTAAAGCCTTCATGAACCTTCTTTAAATCTCTCAAATTATAGGAATCCATATAAAATTGTCTTAAAACATTTTTGGTAGAATGTTTTTCCCGATTTTCTCAACATTTTTTTTAGTTTCTGCTTGAAAATCGTGGGAGGCAAACATATCCCATATTTTAAACATCAAGTGTGCGCATGTTTCTTTTTTTCCTTTATACACATAAATAGTCCGTTATATGACCTTTCAAGAAGTACTGCTCAATTCATGGAAAATTCACTAAAAGTAACTCGGCGAAAACGTTTTATTCATTTTTTGGGTATAGAAAACCTTAGAAATCTCTTTTTTGAAATATTCTTCAGAAGTATTGCCAGCAAATTGCAAACTTTGGGAGCCAACAACATTCTTATAAAGAATCAAAATTGAGGGTCTTGATATGGGGGCATATCTTTCAAATATTCTGAACTTTTTCAACATATTGATGTCACATCCTGTATATTCTATGGAGCTTGATTCGAATTTGTGGATTTTTTTCCATATTCTATACGGAGTCAGGGCAATTTTCAGTTTACTCTCACTCAAGCATCAAGTACTGCTTTTTTTAACCACATAATTATAACTTTTTCAATAAATAAAAAAATGTGTTAATTTTTGAAACTGTTTCCATAAATGCCAATTGGAACAAAAGCACATTTTTTAAAAAATTACACTATCAATTGTTTATTGCAATTATTTGCGACGGCTATATGAAGGACTCTCGCTTCGAGACGACGAAACCTGTCTTGATTGGGACCCCCCAGGTCTGGAATGAGAGTGCTGGTATTTGTTGTGAGAGGAAGGGGGAGAGGAATGTGCAGATCTGGGACGAGCTGAAACTGGGCTAAGCAGGACGGGTGGATTATCGCTTTGCAACTTACTGGAAGTTTCTCTACTATTTTTTATGGCCTCTTGCATGTCTCTATCTTGAAATTGTTTACGCGACGACGGTTGTACTAAATCCTCCTCCGATAGCCCGCTCAGTCGGCCGCATTCCGGTAATTCGCGTTCGGACAAAAATGGAGTTTCGGTACCCGTAGTTCCTATTCTCAGTACGTTTTGTTTGAGATCGATGCAACACTGCAAAGAGAGTTGACCGAATCGCTCAGCACGAGACAAACTGACCTGATGTCTTTTAAGCATATCTAAACCTAGTAGCATATCCATGGGTTGCTCTTCTAAAACGGAAAAGCTGGTGGTGAGATAATCGCCGGCAATTTGTATTTGGACCATGTGGATTCGTCCGATGATTCTTTGTACGCCCACGCCTTTAGCAATTCCCGCCCATCGGGTGTCGACTAATCGCATAATATTGCAACGTTCCGCACAACTGCTCGACATTATCGTCGTTTGGGCACCTTCAAAGAAAAAATGACACTAAATCAAAGGTACAATGAGCACTTACCAGAATCAATGAACGCCTTTACATGGACACCGTTCACTCTACAGTTGATGTACAGCATGGTCACCGTGCCGAAAGTTTCCGGATTGTATTCCATGGCAGCTTCCATATTGGCCTCGATATTCTTCTGTCGAATCTCCTCGGCAATTAGCCTTTGCGCTTCCGAATCGAAAGGATGGGCGTTCATCATCCGAAGTCTTTGCTGATCCCTGTCCTGTCTCGCCTGGACTTGCTCTCGCAGGACGTTCGCGAAAGTATCTACAATAACCACCTACTAAAACGGGCAGCTACACTTACAATTGCTACCTATGTTTCCGGTGAGTAAGGCATCTGCCAACCTAGGATTGTTTTGTTTTAACAAAGCAAGTTGATCGGGATTTGCCAGGAACATGTCGCGGATCAAAACCGGATCATCTTCGGCGGGCCGTTGGGCTTGTCCGGTCGCCTGACCGACAACGCCGCGTCTCGACGTATTCGGAATCTGAATGCCGCTAAAGTCAAAACTTGGCGCTACAAATTGAGCTCTCGGTTTCAAAATTAAAGATCGAAATACATACTTTGCGCCAGGCTCGATTGCGAATCGGTGTTAAGCATGTGCTGCATCGCCACCATGTCGCCGTCTCGAATTCCGTATTGCTTCAGCGACTTCTTCTCGTCTAGTAGCGGCATTCCGTTGAAGCTGATCAGTATCTCGTGCGAGGGGAAACCGGACTCCACTTCGCAGAACGCCTTGAAATTTTCTAGCTCTAAATCTTCCGAAACGTCTAATGTAAAGACGTAATCGGCCATCGTCGATACGCTAACTTTCATCTTTTTAATTAACGGAAATTTGGGTGTAAATTCAGTTTTCAATTTTGATTAGGAACTGACAAATCAACTTAACCTAAATTTGTTATGACTAATCATAATAAAGAATGTAAACAAAGGTTTTGCTGTATCATTCGCACTAATTCGCCGGTTAAAAATACTTTGATTTACTATGGCAATTTTGGCAAATGGATAAATAATTAAATTGCGGTGTTTTTATGCCAAACGGTTAACAAAAAATTTTTTGGGAAACTACACCACTGACAGACGTGACAGTGACCTTACAACTACGGTGACTAGACTAGCTACAAGATAGGGATGTGAACCACATCCACAACATACAGTGTGGCAAGTTGACGCGGGACATTGGGAAATAGCATGGGAAAATACATTTTCGGCAATTCCTGCTACCCATTTTAACTTAAAGAAAAAATAAAAACACCCTCGGATAAATAATTAAAATCGGCATCAGATGTTAAAAGCGTGCCTAGGTCCTTTTTTAAAAGTATAAAAGCTAAATAAATAAATCCAAAAAGGCAGTAAAAAATTGGTTGGCCATGATTTACCTACCGCATTTGTTACTTAATTCTTTGATTTAACTGTCATCTGTAATAAACACGCCAACATGAATAATAATTACAGTACAGAAGGAATTATTGTAGTTCGTGATTTATTTTCAGTTAAGTTTGATGACAGGCCAATTTTATATAGTGTAATAATTTCACCCTTTTGTGGTTGAAGTGAGATGATAGTCAAAGGGACGATTTGTTGTAGTAGGTACCTAGCAAATGCGACACGTCACTCCATGGCCAACCAGTTTTTATCAATTTTTAGGATTTTTAATTTAATTTTGAGACTTGCATGAGACCTCACAGTTGAGTATTTTTATGTCATCCGATGGATATTTCAATTATCTATCCGAGGATGTTTTTATTTTTCCCGTAGGATGAAATGGGGAGCAGGAATTGCCGAAATTGTATTTTCCCATGTTATTTCAATATGTCCCGCTGTTAACTTTCCACACTGTATATATAATCAACAATAACCAAAATAACAAGCTGCATTCAATTGAAGAATATGTCACCCTACGGCCTACATGGTCGCAAGGAGAGCCTATGGCCATTTACACCGTCAGATTTAAGCATAACATAACTAAAGATCCATGGCAAACCAAGATATTTTCCAAAAGTAATAAGAATTCGAAATGCGCACTGAATGCAACAAATATTCTTTGAGCTATCCTTGAATTTCTCCAAAATTGCGGCCTGTTAGAAATGTAGACCGGAGGAAAGGCCGCTCTCTACTTTCTTAAAATTTTAAAGTGCGCACTCTGGGTGGAAGAAAATCTTCTAATTTCCTCAAACCTCCCAAAATCGGTGATTCCTTTCATCTTTTACAAGTAAAAAATTTGCTCCAGATGCAAAAATTTGCGTTTCGTGGATCTTGAAAAATGTGTCCACTATTTTTGCCTTTTGCACGTTTTTTCCGACATTTGTTGACTCTAAAGAGCTGCTTCATTAAGCAATCTTGGTTGCTTTCTTTTTTTTATTGATAACAGATCCCGGTTCTTCGCATTTAGCGACCAAATCTTGAACATAGACTAGGCTTACATTTCTCACCGAAGTTACATTCAATTCCTTAAAGAGATGTTCCCTTTCCCCCAGGCCCCACTCCCCATATTTTATGAGCTGCATCGAAATGATGCAAAATTGATACAAGATTGCTATGCATGCTTGTTGGGTATATTTTAGAATAAAAATCATTTTTCTATTTAAACATGAATCGTGTGCTCTCTAGCGGTGAAACTAGAAATTGAAAATAATTTCCAGCGATTTCTCTCGGCCCCTTTTGTTAACAAAATTTTTTTCCCGAAGCTGTGCAATTGACGGTTCCATAGATATCGCCTGTGACCATTATTAATGGAACACCCTGTACATACAATGGTCAAACTTGGAAATGGAAAATCATTTGCAAGGGACTCATTTCCACCCTGCCCGAGGATCTACAGGAAAAGGGACTCATGGAACTTGGGTCAGAAGACATAAAAAAGACCCTAGGCGTACAATGGGCGCCGATCTAAAATGTCTTTCGGTTCAAAGTAGATCTACCCGGTTCGATTCCCGGCCGATGCAGAATTTTTTTAAATTTCATATATTATTAGCATTTCTACATTTCGCCAGACTAATGATGGCTGTTGATGTAGGACGTCACACTGGCTCACAGGGCAGCTGCTTCCTATACAGGGTGTTTTTTTGGGAGTTTTAGTTAAACGTTTCTGGGAAAGTAAGATACGTAGATTTTTGAAAATTTGTACCTAGGGGTTACTCTGAAGGCCGAATCGATGTAAAATATTTTCAAAGTGGCCGCACTTCCGGAATTACCGGAAGTAGATAGTAACTTCGTTATTTTAAATAGCAACCCTTATTTTTTATTGGATTTTTGGATTCTACGTGAAATTTCAGTTCATTTGATACCCATATGTCGATATCTGCCATTTATGGTTTTTAAGTTATTTTAACTTGATGAAAAAAAATGGCGGATGCAGATGGTACCTTGATAATTGATACTTGAAAACGGTTATAGTCATGGCAACCCATTTTTATCAGTGCATAGAGGGCTTTCTTTTAGTCCACTTAAAAAAAGGTTAAGTTGCGTACAACCACACCTATGATGGAGATTCAAATTTAAGAAATTTCAAAGTCTAAAAACTCAGTTTTTTAAATGGAATGACCACGTTCTTACTATTGTATGAGGTAGAGAATCGAAATTGGCATATTTTGATATTACATGTTCCTATATAGATATCTTTAACAGTTTCTGATTTCCATTTCTATTTTTTGATCGCTTGTCAAAATTTTTCTATTGGACCGATTTTGTTTGTTTTTTTTTTGATCGACGCAGGATTTTGTTTTCTTTAATTTACGAAAGAAGTGTTATTCATAAAATATGCACCGTTTTCGAGTTTTAAGCGAAAAACTGAAAAAAGTCCGAACGTTTTGAGGTTTTTTGGCTGCCAAAAGTTGTGCACTCTTCAAATACATGTTATTTGAACCCAAATGGACCATTTAAAACGTTAAAATCGTTTACACCACATTATGCAGAAATCGGTTCTTCTGACTGCTTCGCATACTGGACTATCTGAGGAAACTAGTATTGTACGTACCCCCCGCCCCGTCAAAGGGAAATATTATTACAGCCTCATTCTAGGGTTTTTTTTTTATTTCTTGAAGCATCCTGATGGGATGCAAAAGGTTTTAGAAATAAAAAATTATTTCCAATGTACCTATAATAGGATATCCATTTTTCGTCTTGGGAATATGTGACATTATGATTTACAAATCAACAGCATTCAAATAAATAAATAATAAATAGTAATTTACCTAATCCATATCATTAGGAACGGCGTAACAATGTATAGGGTAATGCCAGATAGTTTTTTTGTTTTCCCTTTCAAGTAATGAGTTGTCGCCTCAGGCGTTATAAGTGCAATTTGAGTTGCCTATCCTTACGTTAGCGTTTTCATTTTTTTCTGAAGATCCCGAAACATATTTTTTAAAATATATGCCTTATCATAATAGATGGAAATAATATCTTTAAGTACCGCCGTAGGAAATACTGACGGATTTCCAAATTGGTGCTGTACGTTTTTCTACCCTCATTACAACGACTGTTATCTACAAAAAACGATTTTTCTATTCATTGATCTTCCTAAAAAACTAAGACCGATATTTCAATTTTTTTAAGTACCGCCGTTCTTTTCATCATTGCAAAGAATATCCACTATCAGTATCAAGAATTTGTTAGACTTCAACTACAAAAGCAGCATTTCATAAGAAAGTTTAGAATTATTCCAATATGGCGGATTAGGAGCCTTCTTTTGTTTACACTGCTGTCAAGTTTGTGTGTAAGGTGGGGTGCATAACTGTCAGGCATATTAATGCATCGAACATACGAAAATTCACTGCATAATTACTCGTACGTCTATAGGACTGGATGACAAAAATAGCTATCTCATGCTCATGATTCGTTTATCTGTTTTGAAAGGGAATGAATTAAACATTACATACAATAAACATAATTAGGTATTAGTTCAATAATTTATTTATAAGAGCTAAACAATGAGTACCACAAACCACTGTACATTCCCATAAGAATACAAAACTTTAAAAGTAAACTATACTAATTATAAACTCTCTTAAACTAGGCATGTGAAAGAATAACGACCAATTTACTTCTTCTTTCGATCCTGTGTACACTTCGGACAGTACCATTTACCTTTTGGTTTCGTTGTAAGTCCAACGCACGCAAAGTGAAACCATTCGATCGGGCACTAAAAAATGAAAATACATAATACTGGGGGTTCACACGGTATTGTTAAATTTACATCTGGATTATCGCACCCGATCATTTCACCGTAGGAAACTTGATGGCAAAGGCAATAGGTGGGCTCATTCGGATCGACGGGCATATCCAAAACGTCGCTCGGATGCGTTATTCCGGCTAAACCTGGCAGAACTGCGTCGACAACTGAAAATGCTCGAAATGTCACACAACTCAAACTTGTTCTCATGGCGACGATGAAATGAATGATAAACAAATGAAGATGAATGATACGAACCCTCACCTGATGCAGAGATCGTATTGCTCAGCGCGGTACCCCCTGCGCTATTAGTATTCGTGGTGCATTTCTGCTTTTTCTTTTTACTGCCTCGCACTGTACCCGTCGAGTCCTCCTCGCTGGAATTACCGGACCGTTTCTTTTTACTGTCCTTGCCATCTTTGATCTTCTTACGTCCTTCTACAACGGAGGAATTAAAGCGAAACTAAAGGGAAACCGGACACTCACTTTTGCCTACAGAGTTCTCTTCGGTATTTCGCAAATTTAAAGCCTTATCTTGAATTTCCGACTCGAATCGGGCGAGATCGGAATCTAACCTTCTAATATGTTTGTCGACAAGCTCGTAGGTTTGTATCGCTAATTGCACTTTATCATCGCCGTACTCCTAAAAGTGGCCGGTAATTTCTCTCTACGTCTACGGGGCCGGTACTTACTTTCGCTTTGTTAAACAAACTTTGTATTTTATCCAACTGCTCCTTGCACTGTTCTTGATTGAGGTTCTTTTGATTCTTTAGGTAAGTATCCGCTAACGAGTCGATATTTTTCATTAAAGTTTGAGCGCGGGAATCCAAATCTCTCATTAGAGTGAAATTTCTTTGCAGTTCTATGGGCAAATGTTCTAAACCTTGAAAGCGATATTAAGTACAACATTTTATTCAG